CTGTTTGTCAATAAAACTTTGAAAAAAAATCACTTTTAATCTTAAAATTTAGGATTTGGAATGCTGGACTTAAAATAAGGAAGTGCTACTGCCAATGTGGTGTAGGTAAGCAGTGTCTAGTAGCAAAATACTTTTCCTACTTTCAGGTTGTCTGTAAGAAGCAAATGTGAATCACAATACTACTTAGTTACAAAGCCAGAGAGATGCATAAATTTTCTGCTTTATTACTACTAGTAACTAATGGAGATCTATATTTATGTTTACCTGGGCAAAGATTGCTGTTCTCAAGTTATCTCGTTTCTTCATCAAGGCCTCTAGGCTACTGAAGGAATCCTTGTCATCTGACCTCAGGGAACTCTCACGTGCCACCATCCAGCTCTCAGCCTGCTCACAGTCCCCTTGGAAAAACTATGGTGGATGAAACAGAGGAAAAGGCTAAGTTTGTTGCAGGTGGGCAGAGACAATGGCCCTACCCCTCTCATGACACACTATCAAGGATCCTGCAGGGGTACTCATATCCTTCCAATAAACACTCATGCAATGAATCTTGATTATCCTGAAACATTTTTCCAGAGCACTTAGTTTATGTCTTTATATAAATTATACCCAGTTTTGGAATCCTATTTCCCATACCCTATACCTTTTAGATGTGCACTAGATATTTCCTTAAGCTTATGTCAAACATTTTACATAAGGTATTTTGTGATATTTTCATACCCTTCCTTTGAAAGCTGCAATTACTCTTTTCCTTTTTAGTTTGAACTCATTTACATATTTGTTTATTAACCATCTCTTGTATTAGAATGATGTATATGTCATTTCTAAATTCACTAATGGTATGTGCAAAGCACTACATTCAATCTCATGTATCATTAAAAAAGTAACACAAAGACCATTATCTTACTAATCTTTTTGATTTGGGGACCTGCAAAATGTAGTTCTCAAAGAAAATCAATCAATCTCTTAGTCATTCAGTAAATAGCAATCGTGCCCATGACCAGGACTGATAGCCACTTACTTCTCTTCTAATAGACATAAGAAGAGAAAACAGAAATAGTCAGTTAGGTGTTAGGATACAGGGCCATATAATCAAGAAACACCTCATTATCAGAGAAATCCTCATACATTAAGTACGTGCAATAGGTACATAAAAGTTCATACAAAGAAGAAACTGAGGTTAAATTTCCTTAACTACCAAAAGGTTTCTGTACCAGCAATTGCAGGCATTGGTCTAGAAGCATTTTACGGTCCTGCCAAGATTTCTCCAAATTCTCTCTGCTTTGTTGGACAGCTTGAAGTTTCTTCTCAATTTCAAGGCTATTACTATGCCCACTGTCAATGAGTTCTCTGCCAAACTCCTCTAAGGCCTGAAAGGTAGGGGTCTCTGCCTCCATTTCCCTATGATGCTCCTGTAAAGACACAAAAATGAGGTGAGTGAAGATAATCCTCTTGGAAATGTTTAGTGAGGGCAGCCAATCAAGTCAAGGGATCAGTGGTTGTGGATTTATAGTCGTACATACCTGGTGTCGCTTTAATAAGATTTCAATGGCAGTTAAGTCACTGCCCAGCTTCTTTGATGACACGGTGCCATCAATGCCTTTCATCCAGTTTTCTAAGTCACTAGAGAAAGAGACATACTTGGATTGGCAAGAAGACCTTCTAATGAGCTACAGGGATTTCTACAGATTTCCAATCTAGAAAACATTTTCCAAATAATATTTTCTATCTATTTTTGTATTTTTATATGTTATATTAGATTTGCCCAATTTGAAGATCTCATCATATATATTATCTAATTTAACTGTAAAGGTAGTTGTATTGAGAATTCTGACAATATTTTGATTCCATTTTTGAAGAAGAAGAAGTCAGCTCAGAGAAAGTAAGTAATATACTCTCTCAGGCTTTTGGAATCCTGGACTCATATATATATCATTACCCCTATATTCCTGTTCCTTTAAGTAGTTTAGGAATTTAAATATATAATTTATTATAGAGTCTCAGGTGAGGTATAGCTTTTCTATTACTTGTATCCCCAGCACAGTCCAGTACAACATCCTGCCCCACCACACACAATACAAACACACACACACACACACACACACACCGTGTACTACTGGTTAAATGAAATTATGCTTCTTGATCTATTAGTATGCAAGAAGTTAAACAAGTTTAAAATGAAGATCTAGGATTGAGGAGATAGCTCGTCAGTCTAAGTGCATGACTGGCAAGCCTAAGGACCAGGATTCAATCCCTGGTACCACATGCCATGCAGACCCTAGACCCTAGTCGTTCAGAGCTGCCTATTTAAACCAGGCATGGTGGTGAACACCTGTAATTCCAGAAATGGAATAGTTGAGACAAGCGAATCACTATAAGTCTGAGCTATGCAGTGAGACCCTGTACCAAATAAATGAGTAAATGAAAATATTAAAATAAACCTAAAGTCTATTCTTCCAGAGGATAAATTTCAATCATTCTGGCATTAATTCAGAAGTTACATATGATAATAAAATTACAATACTCATAAAATATCCCTAATCTTGTTTTCTATAAAGAAATCCTAAATTCTGGGAATAGATGTCCTCTTTCCAAACAAATTTATTAATGTAGTAAATCAAGACATATTGGATGCCTAAGTATCAAACTCATATAGAACATAGACACTGTTAGCTTTTTTAAAAAGTCAAAACAAAAGCATCATGAAATGATAAAACAAGGTGTTGCTATACCTAAAGGCTGGGAATATTAATTTAATTCTATACTATTGAGAAGTCAGATTTCATAAGGAGAAGTCTAAAGAATTTCTGCAGTTGTTAAATTGGAGGAGGAATTGATGAGAACAAATATAATTGTTCTGTTTATTTCTTAAATTGCTATTTGTTAGACTGACAATTCTAAATAGTTCCCCAATCAGCTGGATAGGAAGGGCAGAAAAGGTGCACAAAGTATATTTGCAAGGTAAATTTTTGAGTATGATATATAGGTAGGTTGTAGCATGACACTGATAATTCTCCAGGATTTTGACATTATCTTATACTGTTTTTCCTTACCACTTCCACAAAAAAATCCATGCTTTAGTTCTCCCACTTAATGAACATTCTGTGCTTTTCTTCTCCGTGTGTGTGTGTGTGTGTGTGTGTGTGTGTGTGTGTGTGTGTGTTCATACCAGGAATGGAACTTAGGGCCTCACACTGACAGGCAAGCACTGTTGCAGTTGAGCTACATCCCCAGAATCCTAGTGTTTGTTTGCACAGTTGCATTGCATGAATTGTTTTCACATCCTGATCAGTACTGAATAACCTGTTTCTCTCTCAATTTCCTCTATTGTTGATTTAAGATCTATGTTTAGTTATATTCACCATAATTATCTATACCATTTCCTGCCTCTCAGCAGAAAGAAAACTCCCATACCCTCTAAATTCTGACACAGTCTCTTACATATGACATGCACTTTATAGTTTATTAAATTGGACTATGTATCCTCATATCCATTGAGCTGTCAATATTTTATAGCTTTAAGTGTTGAATCTGGCATCTTTTAGCCTTTCCAGAGGCAATGCTTAGACATAGTAGTGTCTTTCAAATTTCAGCAGTGAACAGCATCTGGATCCAGCTATTTGTAGTGATAGGTCAGGATTCAAAGTTTCCCAAGATCCATGCTGCAAACACTCTCCCTCTGGTTTCCCAGGCCCGCTGCCCCCAATGTCTCTTCCCCTTGGCCCTATACAGAGCCAAACCCAGAACTGTAGAAGAAGTCCATCCGACTTGACATGGGCAAGCAACCACAAAAATTCTCCTTTGTTAACACTGAAGGTCCCCAAGGACCCGGTAACCCTGCCAAGATTAGCTCTCCCTTGACTGTTGCAGCCCACAACCACTTCCCCACTCATTAAAAGCCCTGTGCTTTGCCTCGTTTGCAGCTTTCTTGGTCCACTAGACTGCCAGCCTTCTTGCTGCCCTCAATAAGTCTTCTGGCTGCATCAGAATGCTTGGTCTGGGACCATGGAGCTAGCTCATTGGAATAAGTGCTTGCCTGGTAAATGCAAGGTCCTGAGTATGATCCCTGGTACTTCCAAAAAGAAAAAGCCTAGTCTGGTCAATTGCATGGGTTCATTACTAACACCTAGCAGCTCTACTTAGGGCCAGTTAGAGAGATGGCCCATTTGTCTGGCTGCAGTGTCTTTTTCAAGCTTTACCTGGCCTTACTGAGAAACAGATAGAATCTGTGGGCCTCACTCAGGACCTCCTTGCGATCCTTTGTAAGCTCCTGCAAGTCTTCCCAGCCCTTGTTCAGCTCTATTTGCTTTCTCTGCAGGTCCTCCATGGCATCTGGGTGGGACTCACTGAGCCGCTCTGCTGTCTCCCCCAACTTGGTGACCTAGAGAGAAGCAGAAGTTCTGAGAAGCAGCCCATCCCCTGAATCTCATTAAGCTAAAGAATCTTGAGTCCTGGGAATTATCTCCTCAAAGAGATGCCAATGATGTTTAATTTTATCTTCTGAACACTTTGTAAAACACGATCAGTCTTTTATGTCACATGGTATCTCTAAAGTATTCAAGATTGAATTAACCATTCTTTTAAAAACAAACAGCTGTAGGACTGGCCAAATAGCTCAGTGAATAAAAGTCCCTGCTTAGACAGAGGCAGGGGCCAGGAGTTCCATGACCTGGCCTGCTGTGCTGGCCCTGACCCTGGGATGCCCTGAGATGTTGATTAAGACTGGTCCTGGTGGCAGAAGCCTGTAATCCCAGCACTTGGGAATCTGTAATCAGGAGAATCACTGAGTCCAATCTATGTGGTGAGACTCTGAACATGCTGTACACCCTGTCTTAACTATAAAAAATTAAAATAATAAAATAAAAAATAGAATAAAAATAAAGAGCTATGTGGCAAGCATGGGTAAGTGACTATGCAGGTTATTGGCAACATCAGTTAGAGAACTCAAGGTCCTGGTTCTTCATGTGAGATTCTTTATGTATCATTCCTATGTAAGCAAACAGTAGTCTACTTTTGTTCTATATGATAATACCTAGCTCGATTTGCCTCTGATATGTCTAGAAGGCTCCACAATTCACTTTGGGGTTTGGTGTGAATTAAACTTGTTCAATTTCCAACTGAGTCATCCTCACACACTGTTCAAACCTAGTGGACCATTCAGTCTATTAGGATTTACTCTTTCTCTTAGAGCACTGAACTCTAATGACCTGCCAAAGTCTGATCACTTGATTTTTACTAAATAGACAAAAACACATAGGCTTATTCATCAGAAGCCCAATATATTGTCTTCCATCTTAATTGTCCAAGAAATTACATCTTTTTAGTAGCCTTGATTCAGGGTACCAGAGAAGAACAAATATGAGACAAAATCAAGTAATACATGAAAATGAGAAGACCGGGAAGGAGAAAAGACAAAATGATATTGTGTGTCGGTATAAAAATAAAGAGGAAGATAAGAAGAACACATATCTCACCTTCTCTCCCAGGGGGATGAGGTCTTTCTCAAAGATCTCATGCTGGCGCTGAAGGGCCTCAACACTGAGCAGATCTAAGCCTGGGTCTGCAACCCTGAGGGCCTGGCATTTCTTCTCAATCTCCTCTTTCATATCATCTGCTTCTCTAATTAATCAGAGAATAAAGAATTTAGAGCTGATGTATGTGTATCAGATGAACTCACTACCACCTCCACCTCCACCACCATTATTACCACTATTCCTTAGTACTTTGAGACTCCTTTAATCTTTACAGTTTACTATTATAATACCCTATATCCATTTCAAAACATCAGGGCTCAAAAAAGATAAATATTTCTCAAGATAGCACCATACCCAAACAGTAGAGACCAAGTTTAAGCTAAGAGGACCAGAACCAAATGTTTAAGGATGTTCTATTTTAAGTTAATTTCACCAGCCAGACTCATCTGATCTCTGTTTTCTCTTCCCTCTTTGTTTATCAACACAATTGGTTTCTTTTTTCATAATTTTTATTTACTAATTTGCATGCACATTTCTCTTAGAGTAGGCATGGCTTTACAAATGCAACCTAGAAAGACATAAACTGAACAGTCAGAATCAATGTGAGGCTTATTTCCTTTTATTGCTTGCTCCAAGTTCAGGAATATAATGATTTATACCACTTGTTTATAACTCCATATTGAGTCACTATCAGGAAAGCATGTATATATTATTGATTCCACCCCGGGGTTCGAGCCAGGCAGCACGATGTTGATGTTTGTTATCTCTGTGCATACGACGGGCAAATGAGGACTCTCTTCATGAATACTTGAACCCTGTTAGCACAACTGTCACTGACTGGGGAAGAATGGCTAAACTAGCAGCTGTGGTTCTGCCAGAGGAACCCGACCTGTGATTTCTGTGTGTGGGTTCCCAACAGCATCAATTTTGTGGCTGCAAGTCTCACCTGTGGAACACCTCGACGGCATGGGCACTGCTCAGCATTTGCTGCTGCTCATCTGCAAGCCTCTGCAGGGAGTCCCAGCGAGTATTCACTTCCTAAAAGAAGCAGATCCATTGGACTTTAGACAGAGAGCCAGCTCAGATGGCTCCATGGTATCTACAACTAGTTGGGATATTTTATTTTTATTTATTTATTTATTTTTGCGGTACAGGGGATTGAACTCAGGACCCTGCGCTTGTCAGGCAAGCGCTTATTCTACTGAGCATTCTCCCCAGTGTCTAGCTGGGATTTAAATAGCTGGGATTTAAATGACAGATTTCATGTCTTTTTTTTTTTTTTTTTTTTTTTTTTTCTTTTTCATTCACTACATAACATAACTTCTTTTTTGGACACACTTACTTTGGTCCATGTTTATGCTCTTGTGGTAGAAAAAAACATTTATTTTTTCCTAACTGTTGCTCCAAGTTGGAATTAAAATAAATGTGAATTTTAGAGCTAGAACCTGGTACCTTCCTCTAGGGAAAACATAACTTTTCACATTCTGAATTGAATGGAAAGTGGTGGTCTCTTACAACCTCAATTTCACAGTGAGTAAGTACATTATTTACATGCATGTTCTTTTGCTTTTTATCCAGTGACAATCACCACAGAAAGGGTGGAGGAATTCTTCCTCACTGGCTTATGACAATAAGAACAAGACTGCTGTTTTAATTAAAGTCTATTTTTTATGGAATCATAACTGAAAACAAAAGTCAAGTAAAGAATTCCATCTCCCCAATTCTCATTATTTCTTTGTTTAAATTCTCTTCATTATCCCTTTTAGCTAGTTATCTAGATTCAGCTCTTCACTTTGTCATAACTTCATTTTAAGTATTTGTTTTTCAACTTTTTCTTTATTTGGTACTGGGTCTCATTACACAGCTCAGTCTCAAAGTAATCCTCCTGTCTCAGACTCCCAGTACTGGGATTACATTTGTGCACCTCTATGCCTGGTTTTGGTAGCCTGAATAGCACACCAAGATTTCAGCGACAGCACCCCCTGTGGTTCCAGTGATTGAACCTGGGTCCTTGCACTTGCCAGGCAGGGATTAGACCTCTGAGCTATCTCCCCACTGCCTACCATAACTTATTGATTGACCTTTTTTTTTTCTTTAACATAGTTGAGCCATGGTCCACATTGCAGTGATAAGGACATGAGTACATGCTTCAATGAGAGAATTTCATGGGTATGTGATCCACAAATATAATTCAAAAGTGGTTTTTGGGGGAAAGCCTCCTCCCTCCACAAAAATAACTATGTGAGAACAGAGAGGATACTCAATAAATATTAGTTTAAAAATCCTTCTTTGAATTTATTCAAACAGTACACCAGAAGTAATTTAAACCTGAATTACATTTATTTAGACCATAAAAATGTTTGTCCTAGTTGGATTATTGACCTTGGTGTTTTCTGAAGTCATATGCATAGCTCCATTCTGTTATGTGTATCCTTAGTGATATGAGGCATACAAGTTGAGTTTATTAAAACAATAGAAAAACTCATAATCCCAAAAAGGTACTGAGGAGAAATCCCAATACTCTCAGTTACCTGACGGATATGAGCACCTTCTGGAGTTAGAAGCTTTTCAAGTAACAGCTCGTCAGCTACCTTGTTAATTTCATTCAGTCGAGACTTATTGGTCTTCAAATCCTGGTGAAAAATTTTGTTCAAAGCATTGTAAATCCTATTCTCAAAAAGTGTCCATATTTATCTGTACACCTTGGTTCTCATTTGGCTAAGTACTATTAAAGCATATTGTTAACTTCATTTGCAGCATATAAGCAGCTTTCATATTTCCCACTGAAAGAGTAAGTTCAGCTCCAGTAAAGTTTTCCAAGACAACTATTATTTATCTGGAGTATGTAGCACATCCACACTCTTAGGTTTCTTAGCATCTTTCCCTGAATTCATTTATACTATCAGAGGAATCTATACATGAGCTTTGTGATACTATTTTGTATCAGTAAAAATTTCTCTTACTTCACAGTATTTCCTTGACTGAATTACAATTTTTTCTATATTTTGAAATGTTGGAAGAAAACCTCCTCTATCTCTGAGAGAATAAGAGAGGAGTATCTTCATATATCAAGAGATTTTACATTAGAAGTAGGAGACAGATCCAGTCCTTACCCAGGCCTGTTGAGTATGTGGGAAAGCTGCTGGCTACCCCACATCAGCAGAACCTGCTGGTCCCAGCTCAGGTGCAGCATGGGTGAGAACCTCTTCCACATCCTTGGGACCCCCCACCACTCTGCGGCACTTCCCACCCTGCTGGCCCAGTGAGAATTTCTGCCGCATTCTGGGGACCCCCAGATCCAGCCCTAACCCATGCCCAGTGAGTGTGTGGGAGAGATTCCACTCCCCCACCCCCCGCACTACCTTATCCCATCCAGATTCAGCTCAAGCTTTGCATACATGCCTGGGGTAAAATCTTCAGCTGCATTCCTTGCAGAGAGTGTAGGGGACAAATCCACCCAGCAAGTCCAGAAGCAGAACATCTTGCCAGGGAGACAAAACAATATCACTCCCAAGGGCAGCAGCAGGAAGGAGCTGAGCACAGCAGCCATACCCAAGCAAGGCACAGCTGGATAAATCCAAACTTTCTGGATCTGCACCTGAATTTCAGTAGGTGCTAAGGTTATAACTGCACCAAAGCTGTACAAGAATGACCAGAAGACAGTGCTACACAAAATGACATTGAGAAGGAGCAAAATGCAATCTCAGACCCCAAGCCACACATAACAAGTGCAGAGGACACTGACACAGAAAAAATTGGGAACCACACAGCTGAAATCAATGAATCAAGAGCTTCTGAAATAAAGAAACAACTGCAGAAAGGTATAGAGGAACTCAGATTGGAAATGAAAAAAGAAATCCCTGAAATAATAGCATCTGCAGTAAAGAATCAAATGCAGAAACACATGAAGGAAATCCAATGCCCACCCAGAACAAGTGCAGAGGACACTATCGCAGGTCAAATGTATGAATTAATAGCATTGAAAGTAAATAAGCAACAACATAAAGTTATAGAGGAACACGGAGAAGAATTCTTTTCTGAAATAAAAAAAGAATTCTCTGAACTCATAGCATCTTAAGTAAAGAATCAACTATAGAAACATAGGGAGGAAAACCAATCTGGAGAAAACATTGCAGTAAAACAATTAATAACTGCTTCAGGGGGCTGGGGAGATGGTTCAATGGAATAAACGCTTCCCTGGCAAGTGCAAGAGCCTGAGTTCAATTCCTAGTTCTGAAAAAAAAAAGAATTAATAACTGCTTCTAAAGAAGACATTGATAAAAAAAATAGAAGAGAATAGAAACATGACAGATTCCTTGAATGAGCAATACAAGAAAGAAATAGATCGCATGAAGCAGAGTCAAAGAGATACAGAGGAACTTAAAATCTCAGTCACAAGCTTGCAAAAGCATTTAAGTGAAAGTAAAGACAGAGTTTCAGATCTTGAAGACACTGGTGCAGCTAGTGAAAAGTTAAGAAAGGATCTCTTAAAAACAACTAAGATGAGGGAAAAAATAATCCATCACCTGCAAGACAATGCAAAGATAAAAATTTGTGAGACTAATACACATCAATGAGAAATAAGGAGTCAATACAAATGATATTTTAAAAAACATGGGCAGAAGTACTAGCAGAAAACTTCCCAAATATGGGAAACAATCTGCCTTTCAGGTAAACGAAGCATACAGAAAGCCAAGTAACCTCAATCCAATTAAAAACAAATCGAGACATATAATAGTCAAAATCCCAGAAATTCAGCTCAAGAATAATATACTGAAAGCCTCTAGAGAAAAGAAGCAGATCACATTCAAATGAAAACCCATCAGAATTACGGCCGACTTCTCTTCACAAACCATGAAGACAAGAAGAACATGGAGAAGAGTACTTCAAGTTCTCTATGAAAACAAATTCCAGCCCAGACTACTATACCCTGCAAAACTCTCTTTCAAGTTTGATGGAAAAGTGAAATACTTTCATGACAAAGAACAGCTAAAGAATTTCGTAATGACAAAGCCAACCTTACACAGGCTACTGAAAGATGTTCTAGAGAGGGACCAAAATGATCAAAACTCCACAAATGAGATCAGAAGCAACCAACTAAATAGGGAAAGCAATTAAACACAGGAGAAAAAGGAGTACGCAACAACAGGCAAATAACATGTCAATCATAAGTCAACACATCTCAATCCTAAGCATCAATGTAAATGGACTCAATTCCCCAATTAAGAGAAATAGATGGGCCTAAGGAGAGTCACATGGGGAGAAGATACTCTCTCAGGCTTTCACAGAGAGCACATTGGCCAAGCATTGGCCGTGACTCATCCACATGGCTGCACTGATAAAGGTTCTACAATCTGAGGTACAGGATCTCAGGACAAATCCTGAGGGCATTTCACTGACCTTCTCAGACCAAAAAGCTACAATTCTTGTTGCATAGGTCCTGCTTTACCTTGGTCTTAACCATCCAGCAGAAAAGTATGAAGACGAAATTATAAGAAATAAAGCCATGCTGTTAAGTTGAGCTGTGGGGGACTCAGGTCAATAATTTCTGACATTGCCAGTTAAACAGAAGACCCAATGCTATTATGGGCTACTGGACTCTTTTAGAATATTTTGCTGAGTTTACCCACCTATAATATTCAATAATGGAACTTAGAAAAAATGGGGTATACAGATGAATGTCCATTTTGTATCTGTGTATTCAAAGTGGTTGGGATAGATATATAGTTACATTCTGTTAATGAATAGAATGATTTGTTATAATGGTGTTTGTAAATAGGAACACAAGTCCGCATCTTGTACAGCAATTAACCACTAAGAAGAATATATGCAGTGTATTATTTGTTGAAAAATAAAAAAAAGAGAGAGAAATAGACTGGCACAGTGGATCAGGAAACAAAATCCAACAATATGCTGTATACAAGAAACACATTTAACTCATAAAGACATTCATAGGCTGAAAGTCAAAGGATGAAACACAGTACTACATGCCCCAGAACCTCAGAAAAAAGTAGGGGTAGCAATCCTTTTCTCAGACAGTCTCAACTTCAAACCAAGAATGATCAAGGGAAATAAAGAAGGCCACTATACACTGGTTAGTGGAAACATTTAAGAGCAAGATGTAACATTCATAAATATGTACGCACCAAACACGGAAGCTGCCAACTATATAAAGCAAATCTTAATGGAAATGAAAAATCTAATATCCAATATCACAATCTTAAAAAGAGAACTTAACATCCCGTTATCCCCAAAAGATAGGTCAACCAGACAAAAACTTAACAAAGAAATAACAGAACTGAACCAGAGCTTGAAGCAAATAGAATTGGTGCACATATACAGAGTTCCACCCAAACACAGCTGAATACACATTTTTCTCAGCTGCACATGGGTCATTTTCTAAAATAGACCACATACTGGTCCATAGGTCATGCTCAAGTATGCAAGAAAACAGAAATTATCCCATGCATATTATCTAATCACAATGCAATGAAACTGGAAATAAATGACAAAAGAAACCAGAAAAACAACCTAAATATATGTAAATTAAATGTCACCCTACTCAGAAACCAATGGGTCACAGATGAAGTTAAACAAGAAATTCAACAATATCTACAATTGAATGCAAATTCAAGCGCAACTTATAGAAATCTATGGGATGTGATGAAAGCAGTTCTCAGAGGGAAATTAATAGCAGTGAACTCACATATTAGGAAAAAAGAATGGGAACAAATAAACATACTTATACTGCACCTTCAACAACTAGAAAAGGAAAAGCAAACGAAACCCACAGCACAAAGACTGGAAGAAATGATAAAGATTAGAGCAGAGATTACTTCAATTGAGACAAAGAAAACAGTAAAAAGAATTAACAAAACAAAAGCTTGTACTTTGAGAGATTAAATAAAATCAATTAGCCCCTAGCTAACCACAACAAAAAGGAAAGAACCAAATAGGATACAAGCAATAAGGAATGAAAAGGGTGTAGTTACCACACACCCAGTGGAAAATCAGAAGATTATCAATAGCTACACTGAGAATCTTTACACTCACAGAATAGAAGACACAGAAGAAATGGACAGATGCCAAGAAAGTTACATATTACTAAAGCTGAGTTGACAAGCGATAACCACTCTTAATAGACAAATAACAGCCAATGAAATAGGAGATGTAATAAAAAAAACTACCGACAAAGAAAACTCCAGGTCCAGATGGATTCACAGCTCAATTCTACAAGAAATTCACAGAAGACGTAGTCCCTATACTCTTCAAACTCTTCAATGAATTTGAAAAGGAAGTAATCTTCCCACAATCATTCCTGGAAGCAAGAATTATGCTGATACAAATACCAGGGAAAGATGCAACTAAGAAAGAGAATTACAGGCCAATCTCTCTCATGAACATAGATGCCAAAATCCTCAATAAAATCCTAGCAAATAGAATACAGCAAAACATCAAGAAGATCATACACCAAGATCAGGTGGGACTCATCCCAGGGATGCAAAGATGGTTCAATATTCAAAAATCTATAAATGTAACACACTAGATCAATAGAGGGAAGACTAAAATCACATGATCATCTTCATTGATGCAGAAAAGGCGTTTGACAAAGTCCAACACTCATTCACGTTCAAAGTCCTACAGAAAATTGGAATAGATGGCCTCTACTTCAATCTGGTAAAAGCCATATATGAAAACCCAACAGCTAACATAATCCTAAACGGGGTAAAACTGAGATCTTTTACTCTTAGATCTGGTACAAGACAAGAATATCCTCTATCACTTATCCTATTCAATATAGTTCTGTAATCATTAGCTATAGCCATTAGACAAGGGAAAGAAATAAAAGGAATAACAATATGTAAAGAAGAAGATAAATTATCAATATTTGCAGACGACATGATACTTTACTTGGAAGACTCAAAAAAATTCTACCAAGAAGTTATTTGAATTAATTCAGAAATTCAGTAGCATAGCAGGTTATAAAGTCAATACCCAAAAGTCAACAGCATTCCTCTACAAAGATAACAAACACACCGAGAGGGAAATTATAGAAACAGTACCTTTTAAAATAGCACTGAGGAAAATGAAATACCATGGAATTCATCTAACTAATGAAGTCAAAGATCTTTTCAAGGAAAATTACAGGACACTTAAAAAGAGATCTTAGAGGATTTCAGACAATGGAAAGATATTCCATGTTCCTGGATAGGAAGAACCAACATTGTGTATATGGCCATACTCCCAAAACTGCTGTATAGATTTAATGCAATCCCTATCAATATACCACCATCATACCTCAAAAAGCTAGAGAAATCGGACCTAAAATTTATTTGGAACCAGAAAAGACCTAGAATAGCAAAGATGATCCTGGGCAATAAAGACAAGGCAGGAGGCATTACAATTCCTGACTTGAAATCGAACTACAAGGCTACTGTGATAAAATCAGCAATGTACTGGCAAAAAAATAGACATGAATATCAATGGAATAGATGAGAAGATGCTGAATACCCTAGGAACACACTCTTTCATCTTATCTTGACAAAGAGCCCATACATACTCACTGGATAAAAGATGGCCTCTTTACCAAATGGTGCTGGAAAAAACTGGCTCTCTACATGCTGAAAACTAAAACTTGACCCAGATCTATCACTATGCACTAAGCTAAAGTCAAAATGGATTGAAGATTTAAACATTAAAACAGAAACACTAAATCTCCTGGAAGAGAAAGTAGGAGAAACTCTTGAAGACATAGGTATAGGCAAAGAGTTTAAGAACAAAATAAACCGCACCGGAAACACTTGAAAAATTAACAACTGGGACCTGCTCTTACTGAGAAGTTTTTGCACATGAAAAGAAATTACCAACAAAGTGAAAACAATCCACAAATTTGGTAACAATCATGAAAATAAGTACTCACACATATTTCTGCTCTCTAGAATTTATAAAGAACTAAAAAACACTAGGTTCCCAAAATTTAAAGACCCAATCCAGAAATGGGCATCCAAGATGAACACACACTTCTCAGAGGATGAAATGAAAGAAGTGAATAAGTATATGAAAAAATGCTCCACATCACTAGCCATCCATGAAATGCAAATTAAAACAACTTGGAGATATCATCTCACCCCAGAAAGGGTGGCAATCATAAAGAAGTCACCCAACAACAAATGTTGGAGGCTGTTGGGGAAAAGGAACCCTTCTCCCCTGCTGGTGGGAATGTAGACTGGTGCAACCATTATGGAAATCAGTGTGGAGACTCCTTACAAAACTTTGACTGGAAATCCCATTTAATCCAGCTATTCCTGTACTGGAAATTTTCCCAGAGGATCTGAAAACATCATATCATAGTGATATATGTGTGCCTATGTTTATATCAGCACAATTGGTGATAGCCAAATCTTGGAAACAACCAAGTTTCCCATCACCTGAGGAATGGATGAAAAAGATGTGATATTTTTATACAATGGAGTATTACTCAGCTATAAAGAATGATAAACTTGAAGCCTTTATATTGAAGTGGATGCCACTTGAACATATACTCATAAGTGAAATAAACCAGACACACATATTTAAATATCATGTAGTTTCCCTAGTATAAGAACTCCAAAGAAGAAATACAAATAGAAAGTTATAATACAACTAAAAGAAAGCAAGAACTTCAGGATTAGACAATGAAAGGAGAGAAAGGAGAAGAGCTAGGAAACATGACCTGAGCAAGCCATACTGTTATATGTAGAAAATGGGTAAGACAATGATCATGAGAACCTTCAGAAGATTTTTGAATCTTGCAGATAATTGGAATGATTCTCACCCTGACTAAGTATATATACAGACACCTGCAAAGTAAGTGATTGCACTGAAGATGGCAATGTGTAATAGTAGGTTCATGTTAGGAGTGTCTGTCATTCTGGTCTTATGAATATAGTCTCCTTGTCATGACATGCAAGTTGCTGCTGTGCTGTCTGTCAGGTAGATGACTGTTCAAAAAGTAAGGGGTGGTGAATGAAGGCACAAGACAGGAAATAGTATGTTGCAGGACTGTCCTGCTACAAGGTTGTATATTTTTGGATTTATGGACTTATGTATAAACATAAGAATTATATAATTAAGTCTTTATGCCTATTTTAAAAATATATTTTAATTTTTAACTGTTCTTTCATCATATTCTGTAAGAACTTAAAGTTCAACATATCAATACTTGATGGAAATTACCTGTTCCATGTTATTCCTAAAATATTTGGTATTCAGACAGATAAGGTTAAGCTTAACAGCCTAGGTTGTATGGTAATCACAATAAGCTTCTCTTCTGGAGGGCTAACAACCTAAGTTTGCAGGCCAAGATTAGAGAAAAAGGAGGGCCACAAGGAAAGCCAACATTTTGGCCCTAGCCTTCCAACATCAGTTAAGACTCAGGACATATGAGAACTTGTACTGTAACGTCACGTATGCCAGTAGTGTCCCAAGTTTTCTGATCAAGGAGGTTATGGGACCAAAGAGGAAAGTGATCGATGATGTAGAGTGTCCCGAAGGAGAGTCACATGGACAGAAAATATTCTCTCAGGTTCTCACGGGAGCACACTGGCCGAGCAATGACTATGACTCATCCACATGGCGGATAATGACAAAGGATCTACAATCTGAGGTACAGAATCACAGGACAATTCCTGAGGGGATTTCACTGACCTTATCAGATCCAAAACCTACAACTCTTATTCCATAAGTCTTGCTTTATCTTGGTCTTAACTATCCAGCAGAAAAGTATAAAAACGAAGTATAAGAAGTAAAGCCATGCTGTTATGTTGAGTTGTAGGGGACTCAGGTCAACAATTTCTGACACTGCCAGTCAATTAGAAGACCCAATACTATTATGGATTACTGGTCTCTTTTTGAATATTTTGCTGAGTTAACATACCTAAACTTTTCAAATGATGAAATTAAAAAAAAGAGGATATATAAATGAATGTCCATTTTGTATCTGTGTATTTTGAATTATTACGATAGATATATAGTTACATTCTCTTAATGAATTGAGGGATTTGTTCTAATAGTGTTTGTAAATAGGATATCATGTGTGCATTTTCTACAGCAAATAACCACTAGGAAGGCAGTTTGTAATGTGTTAATTATTAAAACTGTCCTACCAATTTGATTTGAACTTGTCTCGTTATTTGTCTGTCAATAAAATTATGGGAAAAAAGATGTTGGAGACTTTATACACAATTGTATGTATAATATTTACATGAAATTTACATGTAACATTTATAATTTTACATATAAAATATATACATTCGATTCCAAGAAGATAGTACAATAAGAGGAAAGAGAAATTTACTTTGCACTAATTAAGATAATGAAATCACTGTCAAAGTAGAAAGGAAAATGAAAGTTTTTTAGGTAAAGAAACAGACATGGTGGCTGGTGTGCCACCCCCTCCACTGGTGCATACTGAGACACAATGGAGACTGGCCTGGTAGCGCAGGCCTGTAATTCCAGTGCTTGGGAGGCTGAAAAAAGGAGGCTCACTATGAGTCCTGTCTGTGAAGTGAGACACTGTAAATGCTACACTAAATACATGAAAAAAAAAAAAGATACAAAACAAAACAAACATTGACTGTAAAGTGAGTATTCTTTTCCACCACAAACTCTGCTCTAAATTCTAAAACAGATTCTTATGATTTCCCATCCCAACCTGTACATCAGGTACAGATTATACTATAGGGCAAGCTTGGAGCCTCTAGGTAGTTCAGGATCTTTTAGTGGCAGGAATATTAGGCTTAAAAATTAGGGTACTCCTTTCCTCTGCATTTGTTCCCCAGCTATTACCAGCAACAGCATAAAAGGAAGATCTAGATGCAGTAATAGCTTTGGGAAAGATTGTTAATGAGTGCAAAGTTGATAGGTTCAGCCTGAGCACAAACTGCTAAATTACCATGGCCCTGATTCAACATGGCTGAATCCCCAAAACAGCAGCTTAACTTTCCAATGGCCACATCCTCCTTCTTCAACATTCCAGCCTGTATACAACTTCCTTTTACCTTTCTTACCCACATAATGCAGTCTGCAATCAGCTCTTTGTGCACTGAACCTAGCTAACAAACTTCACCCCTAGCATTAATCCATAAAGTCTTGGCCCTCTGGTCTCAGCTCAGAAGATCCACCATCTCCCTACCCTTGATCCTTTCCATCCATGTCTTCAGAAATAATAAAGCCCCTCCTTGTATTTCTGCTTCTCTGCTGTGCCAAAACCTAACAAAAATAAACTGCAAAACCCACACTGGAGGAGATTTGGGATAAAAAGAAATAGCAACAACCCTCAACACAGGGTCTCAAGTATTTCCCCTTTTCTCACCTTTTGGAACTCATTACATTTTTTCTGTAGCACCCAGACATCATCTATTTGAACACCCGTGTTTTCTGCCTTTTTCTCTTGGATCCACTCGAGCATATCTCCCGCCTCATAAGCCAACCGAAACTCATTGTAACGTTGCAGCAGCCCACGTCTGCGTTCTTCAGCCCGATCAAGGAGGGAGTGGTATCTGGGCAGGAAAGGAAGAGAGTGGGAAGCAATGGCTACACAAAGGAAAAAATAAAGAGCACACGCAAAATGAGCAAAGTGATTGGTGAAAGGTAAAAGAAAACAAAATTGAAGGGGAAATAAAGTAGATAACTCAGTGGCTTAAGAGCCTGCCTGGCAAGCAAAATGTCCCAAGTTCAATTCCTATGATAAGAGAGAGAGAGAGAGAGAGAGAGAGAGAGAGAGCAGTGTGCAGAGCAACTTGAGAAGTGGGACTTCAG